ACTATAGGCTTGAAGGATGAAATTTTCACTTCGCTGATGTCTACAGGGACAGGATTTCAACCCTTGTCTCAAGCTGTTTATTAGTGGACTGCAGACATCCATGCTGTAATTGCTTTTCACGCCAGAGACCATGGGGTCTAGAATAGTCAGCCTTCTAATCAGGCCTCTCCCATCTGATGTTTTCTCCAGTTCTCTTTTTACTCTTCAAAGTCTAGTGCAAGATCACGCTCATCATGCAAATACATGTGTGCAATATTACATCTCTGCTTCCAGAGCTCAGAGACTACAACATTTTGGAGAAACTGTCCCATGCCCCTAAATTCACACACAACAAATAAAGCAATTCACTATAAATAAAAAAAGGAGCAATACTTTGTTAATGGTGAGAGCTGGGCCCGAGACAGGTCCATTTTCTTGGACATTGTTTACTGGCACAACTGCATGAGTTTATCTCCTCACTTCAAAGGAGCATGAAATGTCAATCTAATTTTTTTTAATGGATAATCCATAAGAGAGAGGGGAAATAAATTAATGGAATCAATTAAAACATTTTAATTTTGACCTTTTCATATTTGGCCTTTCCCCCCCTACTATAAATTAGGTAGATCTTGTAAACAAACTGTCATTCCAAGAGGGGAAAACCCTGTTCTGAAAATGTCAAAATTTGATGTTTGAACAATCTGGTCACTCCTCCGCTCAGCTCCTGCCCTCATATGCACCTTTTTTCCAAATCAAAATCAGTGTTGAAGAAGGCCCTTTACTGAAAAACCTTTTAAGCTTTGAAGAGCCAGCTTTCCCCCTCACAGAAACCATTTCCAAGCAGAACGGTCTCAACTCCCCATGGTCCTGTTTCTACACCACTCCCTCAGTGCAAGCAATGCGTGTTTTTTTCTTTTTTCTGCAAATCCTATTAACCTGTTCCAAGCCTATTGTTAGAAGCTGAGCCCAGCACCTGCCCATCAGTAATCTTGAGTAACCTGATCTCACACTGATCACTCAGGTTGCAATGATCACTGCCTGTATTTAACTGGCAAACAATTGTATGATGCACTTCTGTTCATGACAGTCAGCTTTTAGGAACAATTACCCATTACCTCCAGCTGTGGGAAGTGCATTTCCGGTGAATTTAATGGATAGTTGTACAAAAATATTATGCACTTCTATCTAGTTTTACTCATTTGGTGCTCACTCTCTTTGGTGCACACACCAGAAGTTTGGGGCAAGTTCAAGGTGCGGGGTTTAATCCATGTCTGAGGTGTTCAGATCTACAGATCTAGTTTGGCTGTGAAGGATCGACCCTGTCTTGTGAGGTCAGGTACAACAGGCTATGACCAGCTAATATGGGAACTAAAGGCCTCTGTTCATTAGGCTCAATAAAGGATTGAGTATTCATCCACCACAATCAAGGCTTGTCTATGCTCTTAGGGGAGACACCATAAACCCACAAAAAGGTTAAGGGCCAGTGATAAAATTCAGCTTGGTATCTGCAGCCAGCTTCCAGGTTCTTCAAAGCTTGGGGGGATTTGCATTGGGTCCTCTTCTCTGCAAGAAAGATAAACTGTCACCATGTTATGTCTTCAGGCCCATTCTATACCTCCGCTGCCATTCCCAGCTAGACCAGGTTACAAAGGTCCTGATCCTTGGAGCACATAAGTAATAAGCCACACGCACATTTGCAAGATCACATACTTTGACTAAACAATTGCCCTTAGCACCTACGTTGGCCATAGAAAGGCCTGATCTGAAGTCTATGTTCAATGGCTTCTAGATCAGGCCAAGTGTGTGTAGGTAATTCAAGAGGATATAGGAAGAAACACTCTGCTCAACACAGGCTTCCCTTCAGAGTAGCTGCTCCACCAAGAACCCTACATCCCAGGAACTGTGGAATCGCTGTGCAAGGACGCTGAAATCTGCTGTAGACTCAGCTGGGCAGACTTTGCAGCTTGGGCCTGTTTCTACACCACCCCACATGGTTTTGTCACTTGCCACAGTAGGTGGAGGGAGTGGAGGGCTCACTGCCCAGCCTGATTGCTGCTGGAGGTGGGAGCTAAGTGTCTCATGACCTGTGGAAACTACAACTCAGAGAGATGCACCCCGTGTGATTTTTCCCCTTCTCTGTGACTATAGGATCCAGTCATTTTCTAGCTCTTTGGCAAACCTGCTGGGAATCAGCAGCTGAGCAGAGGGGAAAAGATACTAAAAGAACCTAAAAGTGGTCACTAAAAGCTGCTGCCAGTTATGTCCTGAAAGTCTTTGATCCAGCTTGAAGCTGCTTCCAAGGCCAAAGCCTGCACTGGATGAAATAAAGACATTGGCCAACAGGAGTTTAGGGCTTTATCTGAAGACTGTTAATCAAAGGTAGTTTTTCTATCATTTTGGATGGGTTTTGGATCAGACTCATAGGCAGGGTCTCCAGAGCTTTGTTTTCAGTCAATCATATTGTAGAAGATGGGAGGTCAGGGTTTGAAGAAAGAGCCACTCAAGAGCATGAGTCTGTGCTCTTCTTGCTCATGGTAGAGCAGCATCTCCCTCCCTAGGCAGTCCCACTACTTGGGAAGCCAAGGGACCATAGCTGAATCTACTCCTTAACAGTGACTTTTTCAACTTATGTTCAGATCTTGCCCTCTCAAAGCAGAGGGATGCACTGCTGTGAGGTCCTGTCATCCCTTCACAACTGGACCACCCCCAAAGTCATAGTGAACTCATTCTAACTGTAAACAGCTTGCTCTGCTACTCTTGAAAGACCTCAGTCACCTGGATAACTTTTACTCTTTTACCAAAGCAGCCCTGCAATACCATCCTGAGAATTCATGAGGCCTGGGGCAGCCTCCACTCGCCTCTAGCTGGAATAGCTTTCTGCAGCTTCCTTTCTTCCAGACCCATGAAAGGTCAATTTGACTCTCAGACTAAGAAACAGTGGCCAAGTCCAGAGAATAAGGGTTAAGTCACATAAGGGATCCATTAGTGCATAGGTGTCTAGCGTTCCAATAAAACAGCCATATCCAACTACTACAACTTGGCTTACCTACAATCTAGGATTTTATACTGCCTTAGCGCCCACTCACAAGCCACATCATTATAAACCACTTGTTCCCTCATGCAGATATGTCCTAAGTGCATAACTAAGTATAAGCTGGTGTCAGCCACCTGCTGAGGGAGCCAAGAAAGTCAAAATCTGCTTATCCTCATCCCTGACTTCAGTATAGATTTCCTCATGTGTAGATGACAAAGGACTCAGTAAATCTTTCCCCTCCCACTCAAATGCATGACTTCTCCCCCAGGATAAAGGACTGTTTTGTAAAGCTGAGCAAACCTTGAATGGCTCTGAGAGCATCTGGGAAATCTCAGCTAGATTTTTCTCCTCTTGCTAAGCCTCGGTGCATCTCACTGGCAGACCCATGTATCATTCTCCCCGTAGTCACAGCCAGGAAATAGCAGCTGCAAGCAAATTCCTATATCCCTCCCTTCCCCATAGTACAAGCCATGGTGGAAGCCTCCTATTAAGCAGCCCTCTGCAGCAACTGGGAGCAGATGATCCAGCTTGCCCCCAGTCATGGAGTCTCTTGTAGAGCCTTCTGCTACTCATACCAAACCAGGGAACCTGATGGTAAAGGTGCTGTAAAGACTGGAAACTGGATGAATTGTAGAATCAGGTCTAGCTCTGGAGGATCAGGAGACAGATTATAGCCATGCAGGTGGTATCTGTCCTGGCAAAGTCCTTCCCTGCGCATTATGGGCTGGTCTGGTCTTCAGCCACAGCCCATTCGTATGGTAGAAAACAGGCATTTCAACTGGAGCTGTCAGCAGCTCCTGGAGGAGGGAGGGCACCCGTGCCAGGCAAAGGCAGATGGGAGAGCATGTGCGAGAACCAAGGTGGCCGTGCTGGCCTTGCATCCCCATCGCCTGCACTCCACTCCCAGCCCAGTTGGAAACTCCAGCTGGGCAGTTCTTCTACAGCCCCCTGCCCTGCTAAACAGCTTTTTTGGTGCGTTTCCCCCTCCACACCCGATAACTCCCCCACCACAGCCTAGCACACAGCAGGTCCAAACTCAGCTGCTCTGCATACCACCTTTCTCCAACGCCTTGGCCCTGCGGCGGGACAGTCTCCCCTCCTCAAAGCGGGAAAAACCTTGGCCTCTGTGTCCAGCTTGCCAATTGCTCAGTGGTAACAAGTGTCAGGGGACAACCGGGGCACAGATGCTCCAGACTTGAGCCAGGAAACAACAAGCAGAACCTGAGAACAAGGAGGCAGAAGCCCAGAGCTAGACAGAGAAACAAGGGTGCTGAAAGGGCTGCTCTTTACAGGCAGGAAGCTGCAGGTAACTAGGGCCAGATGGAGGCAGTCAGGCCAGGGGCAGCCAGACCCACTCGGGTACCCAGGGCCAGCTGGCACTAGCCAGCCTGCCTGCTGCCCAGACTCCTGTAAGGGTATCCCAGGAAGCAGTAGGCCATGACAGCTCGGAGGGCCCACTGCTCCACAGTGCTCAGCAGCTTCTGTGGGGCTCCGAGCTGCAGCAGTCTGAGGGTACACAGCGCCTTGTGAATGCTCAGCCCCAGCCAGGATCAGGCTCTAAGAGCACTTGCGCAGCCCCCAGATCCAGCTTTCTGGTGACCGGGGCGCGACGTTCTCTCCCTTGCTCACGTCAGCGCGTTAACCTTGCCCATCTCGCCGCGTAACCCTGCTGCCTCTAAAAGCCACGGTTCCTCCTGTGCTGTGTTGTTCCCACCCGGGTCTCCAGCAGCCGGGTCACTGGCTCTTGTTCCCGCACTGCTGCTGGTGGGCAGCTGGGCTTTGGTTCTGCAGCCCAGCCCGTGCATGGGCCCCAGCGCCATGACGGGTCCAACCTCATTTACACCAGGCAGCACCAATGACTAAGAGCCCAGGAACATTTGGATGGGCTGGCCAACCTGCTGTGTGAGCACGTTCAGGGCTTGGTATGTGTATATATATATATATATAGAGCGAGGGAGGTACACTGCCTAATCCCTTGTGGCTCAGCAGGTATTTCCAGCCCCTGGCTGATCACGCCAGGGAAGATTTACCGATATAGCGACTTGCCGGTGACCAAAAGGCATTTCCAGAGGGCAGCAGCACAGGAGACGGGAGATGTCAGTGATCAGCGCCCTGCCGTTCCTGAAGCCCGTTCACCTGCTGTCTCCCCGCAGCTCCCCTGGCCGCCAGCGCCGACACACGCTCCCGGCCAGCGAGTTCCGGTGCCTCAGCCCCGAGGATGCCATCAGCGTCTTTGAGATCGAGAGGGAAGGTAAGGACCACTCTCTCACGCTGCCCTTCCTTGCCAGGCCCCTTCCTAGGTTTAGAGCCCGGCCTGCCCTCTAATAAAAATGCTAGAGTGGGCATGGAAATGTCCTTCAGGGCTGGAGACTACACGATTAAATCACACCTGAGAAATAGCTGGGAATTACCACCGCGGCTTTCATAGAAACCGAAGCCTGAAGAGCTTTATGGAGTCAAAAGCAGGGAGAGAATGAGCCACCAGCCAGGCTGGGAACACCAGGGGAGTCTCTAGTGTCAGCTCCATTATAACCTGCTGTTCAGCTGTCCACAGAGGTGTCTGAAAACTCATCTTGCCCTTCCAAAAACAGTCACTGCTCCCTGTTCTTCCAGCCCCCAAGCTCAGAGAGAATCAGAGACGGTGGTGACTTTGGGGTCACTGGGAAGGAGGAGGCTCGAGGGTGGACTCCTGCTTCAGGGCCACGTCAGGGTCTCATTTTGTGCCTCTAGGAATGAGGCCAGTTGAGGCAAAGCCTTGGCCCACCGTGAAGCTATGTTTTTGGGACACACAAACCTGCTCCCCAGACAGGCTTCCTGCTGTCAGATGCCAATGCGCGCCTCGCAATGGCTTGGACAGCACTTGGTCCTTTTCTCCTACTACACTAGCAAGGGCAGAGTCACCTGGGCCAGGAAAAGTCACCTGCCCCCCCTGCCATGTACCTCCTGCACATTGCAGCCATCTGGACCAGACTCGCTAGCATGAAATAATCTTCTTGGCCTCCGCACCCAGCAGGGCACAGACTAAAAGCTTCTTACATCCAGGAACATTTGTAGTCAGTCCAGTTATTTTTAGGAGGATTCTCTGAGTCTTCAAAGCCCTGAAGATGCTGAGCCATATCCAGTGTTGCTCCCAGAGCTACACCCTGGCTTAGCACTAGATTTAATTTTGCTGTTTGTTCCTTCTCATGACCATTTCTAAGGCGTGCCAGGAAACCTGCACAGCCAAAGACGAGTCATTCCCAAGAGGAATTCGGCCAAGACCCAGACAAAAATGACAGGCTACCCCAGCTGTTGCCAGAAGGCAAAAGGTGTTCCTGAAGGTCACACATTTCGGGAGCGCAACATACTTTCACCTCTGCCCCGACTACCTATCATCAACCTTTCCCCAAGCTTTGGCAGCTATTGGATTTCTAAACCCCGGGGTTTGGTTTTCCCCATATCAATTAGTAGGAACTGAAACGTGAAGCTACATAAACTTTCGTGCCTGGCTTGAAACCAAGCCCCAATGCTGCAGGAACGATTAAGAAAAACTGCTGGCAGAACAGGTTCAAGTAGCAAGTCGTGATCCCATTGAGGACTTTCTGGGGTCTGAGCTGTGTGGATGAGAGAGCAGGCATCAGTTCAGAGGGTGGCCCTGCGGGGAAAACGGAGGGCTTCGCTGCCCAAGGGTGAAGCACCCAGTCTCTAAAAGGCAGGTAGCCGAGGAAGGGCACATGAGAAGGGGTAGCCCAAAGCCTTCTGGCTGCTTCTACTGAAAGCAGAAAAAGGCTCAAGTTGTTTAGAGCTGGATCCAAACTTCCCAGACTTAAGAGCATAGGACTAGGAAGGGGCCTCTTCAGCCACTGATCTCAATCCCCTGCATTCACAGGCAGCCGTTTGCCTAAGGATTCACCAAGACAGCCACTTCAGACTCGCATACAGCTAAAAGGCACAAGGCCAGAAACACCCTACACCACATTACGTCTAAAAACAGGGTCATGAGGGCACTGCCATTGCAGCGACAGACCTAGCGAGTTAACTCATGCTCAGAGGAACCCGAAAGAGGACCATGCCTCGGTGCAATATTCCTCCCCCCCTCCCCCTCCCCACAGCCTGTGCCAGTCTGACCTGGGGGCAAAACTCCTACCTGACCTGCCATTTGGCAGTCAGTGTGGTCCCGAGAGGAGGAGTGAGGCCCTCTAGCCCAGTCCCTCTGGGCCTTCAATCCCAGGCTTCTGGTTCATGCCCTTTACATATATTAGCATCAATTAGCCCAAACCCAGAGGCGTTGTGGCTTAGCTCTCTCTTCACATGGCCTTTTTGTTCTTTTCCAGCATTTCTCTCTGTTTCGGGCGATTGCCCCCTGCACATGGATGAGATCCGACACTTCCTGAACTTGTGCCCAGAGCTGTCACTTGGCTGGTTTGAAGAAGGCCGACTGGTCGCTTTCATTATAGGATCTCTTTGGGACCAGGACAAACTCAGCCAGGTAAGAGTGGATCCCAATAGCTCCTCTCTCCCCCATGTGCTTTTCATGCTTGGTAGCAAGAGGAGGACAACGACGGATCTCTGGAGACAGGAGTCCAACAAATGTAGGTGGGACGGCTCCTCAGCCAGGGGACATGAACAGTGGAGGGATGGTCACAGCGGTGTCAGTTTATCAAGCTCTGCAGCTTTTCTTGGAAAGCCAGTCCGTGAGACCACGGGCCCCACTTTCAAAGTTAAAGACATGAGTGAATTATATTCACCCAAGACATCCAAGAGGATGGTGCCATGGTTAGAACTTGACCCTGGGGACTTAAGTCCCTACTGAGCCTCAGATCTCCTAGGTGACCTTATCCCTCTATGCCTCAGTTTCCCTAGCTTAACACAGGATAAAGCTTTGCCTCCCCTCACAGAGGGCTCATAAAGGTAAATGCATTGAAGATGATGAGGTGCTTGGATACTCCAGAAATGGAGGCCCACTGATTTTCTAGATAGGGGGCAGTAGGTGGGCTCATCCCCGCCTGCCCCAGTGAATGCAGGGCTGTACCCCATTGCACAAGTTCTAGCGGGGGAGGCAGAATCGCAGCCCTAAAGAGCTTACACTGCAAGAGAAACGGGCCGAGGGGAAAGAGGAGTACAGCCTCCGGGCCAAGCGGTCAAAGTCATTATTGGTCACGCTATGATGGATGTAAAAGCTTCCCCCCGTCACTAGTAGGCAGCATCGTAGCTTGTGGAGAGGCAGTTGCTTTGAGGACCATGTCGGGATCTATTATCACAGGAGTGGGGACGGGCAAGGCAAGCAGAGGAACTAGGCTTTGAGACAGATGTTCAGCCCACATCATTAGACTTTGCTGTTAAGACATCATCTTCCATTTTGTGGCCTCAGTTTACCCCTCATTGCATCCCGGGATTGCCAGTTACATCCCATTGCCCTTCCCTAAATAACTCCCCTCTCCCAGTTGCTTAACATCCCCAGAACAGCTCCAGACCCGTGTCTGGATGTCAGGACACCTCCAGCCTTCTGACAAGAAGCAAAAATAGAAGCAGGAGCTCAGTTCTCCCACTCAGCCAGCCGAAACATGACCTCACCCAGCCTGGGAACAATTAATAGCAGTGCAAACACAGCCATTCCCTTAATGACAAACACTTACTGCTTATAAAGCACTTTTCAACTTCGAAGCACTTTACAAACTAATCAATTTCTGGCAGCCGCGCAGCGCGGAGTGGGTGTAGCAGGGGAGGAAGAGGGAGTTCTTGGAGTGCTAATCTCTGCAGGATAACTCAATTTCTCTGAGAGTCTTCTCATCACTTATTTTTATTGCCTTTGCGATTAAAATGTGCTAAGTAATTTCCAGAAATGATTGTTTTAGCTTTTAAAAGCCCCATTACAATTACATGTAGTTAAAAGTAATTAAAAAAAAATCCATAAAGACTTCCTTGGGGAGGGAGTGTGAGCTAACCTGTTGGAGTGGGGGGGCAGAGGCAGGACTCCTGGGGTCTTTGCCTAGCTGTCAAACTGTCCAGGCTTCTCTGGGCTTGATCATCAGGAACAACTGAGCAGGCACTGCTCCCATCAAAGTCACTGGAAGACAGCAATTGAAGGCTCAGCTAGCCAGGGAATGAAGTCAGGTCCTGAGCTTTCAGTGCCTCAGTTTCCCCATATGTAAAGCAGGGATAGTGGGAGGGAGGCTCTGAGCCTTTGCTTAACCTGCATCCAGGCACCTCCCAGAAACCCTGTGAGACCGTGGCACTGCCCATTCACACCAGCTGAGTTCTCCAGCCAGCTGCCAACATTCATCCTACATGTGCTTGAGCGGAGGGGACTGCAGCAGGAACCACCCTCCCTCTGACATGCTTTGCTCCATCCCCTCTCTCTCTCGGCAGGACGCCATGACTCTGCACAAGCCCCACGGCACCACGGTCCACATCCACGTGCTGGCAGTGCACCGCACCTTCCGCCAGCAGGGCAAAGGCTCCATCCTGATGTGGCGCTACCTGCAGTACCTGCGCTGCCTGCCCTACGTGCGGAGGGCTGTGCTCATGTGCGAGGACTTCCTGGTCCCCTTCTACCAGAAGTGCGGCTTCCGGGTGCTGGGCCCCTGCGAGGTCACCGTGGGTGTGTTGGCCTTCGTTGAGATGCAGTGTGCTGTGGGGGGCCATGCCTTCATGCGCAGGAACAGCGGGTGCTGAGGCACCCACTTCACCCTCCAAACTTGGATGCTTCTCAGGCAATATTCCAGACCTTATGCCTACCCCTTGCAACAACCAGCGGACACTTAAGACCTCCGTAGCTCTGTTGTGCCTGGCACTCTGCCTGGCTGCCTTTTCACCAGCAGCTAGAGACTGGCCCAAGCTCTGTTGTTTTGGACATCTTAACTGGTCCAAACCCCGTAAGACCCATGGCAATTGCACAGGAGGAACGAAAATCATCGGGAATGTAGCAAATGCCACTTCATTTTCTCCAACCCAATGCCCAGTAAGCAGGTGTGATAAGTGTTGAGTTGGTCCCTGCCAAGAGCATCCATTAGCCCTTGCTTCTAGCTACCAGCTTTCAAGGCAACAGTGCTAGTAACAGAGCCGCAACAGCAGGTTAGCCCATTTGAGAGGGGGAAATATTACCCGAGAAGCAGCATAGCGGGGGTTGATTAATTGATTCCCTCTATTTTCCCTTTCATTAATGGCCTTGGAGCCTTTGACATGAGGCAGGACCACGCTCTGCTGT